AAGGATCGGAAGAGAGTAAAGAACGCCTCGACCAGTGGGCCGAATACTTTGAACAACTGTCGTGGCCACCAGCAGCAACTCATCTAGAGTTGACGTAGAACCCTGGACGGTGAGCGTATGAACACCTACGGCCTTGGAGGTTTACGACTGCATATGTTCTCTCAAGCGCCACCGAGTTTCTGGTCCAATTGACCTCCCACCCGCACTGTTGAAAGACGACGGTCAAGTCCTAAGTCAGTGCTTGCCTGATATGTTTTCTTACATTTGGGAAAAAAGGAGTCTGTCCCAGATAACTGAGGAGGGTCGACGATGATACCCATGTTCAAAAAAGGCTCGTAGCGGATGCGGTGACCACACAGGAATCTGCTTGACCCCGGTCGTAACGAGACTGTTGGCGTGACTAGTGCTTCGCCGCCATGCGGTGGCATTTGACTCAGTTGACCGGTCTGTTCTTCTTGACAAGCATTCCCATCAAGGAACGCCCCGAAAGTTTGTTTGGGCGAGATGGCCCAAGTGGTTAGAGCGCGAATTTACTGACCGGAAGGTCCGTGGTTCGAAGCCGACCACTCGACTTCCCCTGTCTAGGCTTGGGCAACCTGGCAGTATCCCAGCCCTCGTGCTTCCTTCGGGTGGCATGGCGGCTATACACCGAAAGGGTGCTACAGCTGAACGCTTTCTTTCTTTCTTTCACTTCCGAACGTGTAAAAGTATACAGCGAGTTCTCCAAAAGCTTGCGTACACAACGCGGTGTCCGTCAGGGATGCCCACTCTCTCCATTTCTTTTTAACTTAGTGATCGATGAAATCATGAGACGAACGCTGGTATGTCTCCAAAACCCTGGTGTACAAATAGCCTGTGACGAAAGCCTTGTCGATCTCGAATATGCGGACGACATCGTTGTCATCCTCGAAAAAAAGACGCAGGTATTGTTGGATGAACTGACTAGTCATCCCGTCCTTTTGCACCCAAAAATCGTAAGGTCACGCTTGTGGACATGAAGTCATTTAATATGCCACTCCCAATCCAGAGAGAGGCACTGGATGTTGTGGAGCTTTCTACGTATCTTGGAAGTTGTAATAGTTTTGACTGTAGTGTGACATATGGGGTCAATGCACGAGTCTGCAAGGTCCGGGTCGCGGTTGCTAATTTGAGAAACCTATGGTGTTAGAGTAGTGTATCCCTGAATTTCTCAAAGGGACGTGTGTATCAAGGTACAGTACGGGCTGTTTTGTTGTAACGCTGTGAGACTTGGTCTATTTGAGCAGCGGAACTGAGGCGTTTTCAGGTGTTCCACAACCGTTGCTTAAGAATCATCATCATCATCACCAAAGACAGCAACATCAGTGTTGCCACCGATGCTTCACTGCCGTATTTTTTTGTACGAGGGCTGGGATACTGCCAAGGCGCCCACACCTAGACAGGAGGACGATTAGGGTCATCAACCAAAGCCTTTGGCTCAAAAGCCTAACCGCAAGGCAGCGGTGTTTGGCGGGGAAATGCAAATGCATTACCTTTTCTACGGAACAAGTCGCCATACATGCTCCAACCCCCAACCTGGAGGACCAGGAGACTGTGTTCGTCAGACCTCTAACCATTGACCAACCTGGTATGAGAGACTTTGTGAGTGTCGCGCGGACACCCCCCAGTATAGCTCAATGGGTCTCCGAGGTACACAAACCGCCACACCACGGTAAGGTCAGAATCATAGCCCGTGTGGGTTGGTGTCGGCGAATCCGTAATGAGGTAAGTAGAATGCGAGCTTCCGGTTGTTCAACGGGTACTTCCACTGAAAAATGTGTCCAGCGCCAGAAGCCATGTTTGTTGGGACATGTGTTGCGTATACCGAACCATAGTTTGCCGAAGAGAGTGCTGTTTTCCATGGCTAACTCAGAGTGGTGAAAGTAGAGAGGCGGCCAACCCTTGATCTGGCAGAAGAGTATGAAGGAGATCACGAAACACTTGGGTGCTGTCGGTGCTACTCGCCTTCCAGGAAGGGGACCGCATGATCCTCACTGTGCCTGGTTGGAGACACTACAAGATATGGGTGCCAACCGATGTCAGTGGCGTTCTTGTTGTCAGTTTCTGTCCAGATTGCCTGAGTGAATGTCTGGAGGTGTAGGCACCTCGGAATGATTGTGTTAAGCTAGCATTAAGTCCCTCCCCCACCCAAATTTATTCTTTTCTTCACAATAAGGCTTTCAAATAAGTCATGGTTGTACGGCAGTGAAGCATCGGTGTTGAACACTGATGTCATGCTGTCGATGATGATGATGATGATTGCACATACATAATACGGGTGTTGTCAGTCATTACCAGGAAAACCGAATGTGAGAATAAGCAGTGATCTACATGTGAGAACCATATATCGAAGGGTGAACGAGACACGAAACATAATTGATGATGATGATTGCACATACATAATACGGGTGTTTGCTGTCATTACCAGGAAAACCGAATGTGAGAATAAGCAGTGATCTACATGTGAGAACCATATATCGAAGGGTGAACGAGACACTCGGGAAACATAATGGCTTTGTTAGAGTTCGTCCAACATATTCTCCGCCGTATGAACACCGGCGCTATGTCAAAGGGTTGGTCAAATCAGGTATCCCATAGGTCGATCACTGTGTGGGATTCTAGGATGCACTTAACGGTGCAAAAAAAAACAGGGAAGAACCTGATCGGAAGAAACATGAAACTCTAACAGCAGTGGGATGGATTGCTTTGCAATCATATGTAGTGGTTAATTGATATGTAGGATGCACAAACACGATAATATGTGAGGGGTACGTTGATACATTTGCACGTGTATCGTGATGTGAATTAAATGATTGTTCTAAAAAAGCAAGTCCCCAAAAATTGGTATAGAGGGAACACTAATCGAAGTTATACATTCAAGATAATTCACCCATTACATATCTGATGTTGCTAACACATGACAAACGAAACATACATTATAAGTCCGAGAGGGCCACATATACTCCAAATGGCAAGAAGAATAGGATTTGAGCTAGATAACAGAAAACCGTTTTGCATATTGATCGAATCTGAGTGCGAGCAGCTTCAGAGCGATCAGTACTTGTAGGTTTATTTTGATGGCAAACAAAAGGAAAGTCAAATGTGGAAAAAGGGAAGAAAACCCTACAAAGAAGGTAACAAATGACCCGCACAGATGAATGAACAAGCTCACATATTAGGAAGACTGGCAATTTTTGGTACAAGCCGGGATCTTCAGGAAGTGCGCCAAATGTGAGAGACTGAGAAGATACAATTTCGGAGGTACCGAAAACGTAAGACATGTGGAATTACTAGGTGTACGTACCACGTGAAACAATGTGTCACTCCATGATTTCAAGTGAATGAACCACACGTGAGTTTGTTTGGATGGCTCAGTACCCACACGAATGATTCACCACTTGCCCACAACTAAGGCGTTAGCCAGGAGACTCAGCTGAAGCCTTGTTCCACGTAGCTTTCGGTGTACTGCAACTGTACATCAATCCAACGAAAAACAATATGCCTGAAGCTGGGTGATCTCAAATATTTCCTTGAAAACTGAATAAACTCTTTTGTTAGTGTATATTGACAGAAATAAAACGTTCTCATGGAGATCCGTTATTTGACTCAAACTTAACCAATCGTCATGACCTCTGTCTAGGCGTAGCATATACTTCGTTTTCCAAAGAGTTGAATAGCAGTTAATTTTCGAACACTGATAATCAACTTGTTGCTTCTTTATCCAGTACACTGGTGAGTGCATACCGATCGTGCGCCTCCGAAGGCGCATTTTTAGTCCATCTCTGATATAAGCTTCACGACGTTCGACGAATTGTTTAAAGAGGTTTTAAACGCTTGACCACCAATCGAGGGGGCGCTGCCAGTGGATTGTAGTAAACTCACTTCCGAACAAAAAGGGAATCCAGTCAACTAGGGTCAACCAATTATCGTATCACTTAATAAAAAAAGTACAGCAAACGGCTGTTCCAGCCGAAGAGATATAAATCCCACATCTGCTATAATGCGACTCCTCGCCTCAATAAAATTGCAACGCCCAACATCGACACGTCCAGTGCAAATCTAAGAGCATAAAACAAAGTTGCGACAGGTTAGGGAACGAATTGATCTCACCTTCATATTAGGTTAAAGGAGTCTTTGACTCCGTAGATGGGTCAACCCTTCTTTATATTTCCCCCAAGGACGCCTTCTTGAGGCCCTGTTGTACGGTTAATTTATCGGTATTATCATAAAATGTAAATTCTATATAGTCAATAATGTAGACATCAAAATCACACCCACAGAATCGGACCGTGAAGACGATAATGTTCCGTTGTTTGACGACCACATGTCGGCGCAGTTTCTCCTTCATAGAATTTCTTGGGTGACCCTTTGCTTTGGCATGTGTTTTGCAACTAAGAGGTGCAGGAATTTCAATCATTCGAACTTCAAGAAGTTGAGTATTTTTTACCGCCTTACCTATCTGAGCAGCCGATTAGCAGAAACCAGTGCGCGCATTACCGAAGTACGAGAAACATCTACGGACTTGCGGGACTAGGGCGTCAGAAACAAATTCTCCTAAAGCCGAAATGCGGCATGTACAATTGAAAGAGGAGACGTATTCCGTTATTGTGGAAATTGATCCCTCCAAACGCAGAACCGTAAACAACTGCTAGCGCTTGACCGTCGACACAGTGGACTCTAAACGGGTGAAGTGTTGCAGAGAGGCGAGGCGTAAAGAAGTGCTTTGTGAGTTCGGAAGTAGTACGGTGCGACTGCCCAGCCAGTAATGTCACATCCATAACTAGCCATATCTGACATTGTCGATTTTCCGTTTGGTCGAACGCAGAGATTTGAGTACAGAATGAGAAACAAAGGGTGAGACGAGAACAGAGGTGGGCATCAAAAGTACAAGACACGTGATAAGCAATCTGTAGGCATATCAACCTAGGGGTCACGTGCAGCTCTGAATAGAAATTACTTAAATAGAATGAAGGAGGCGATTTCGGACGGCGCCCAGTTAGGCGAAACAAATGTATTATCTTGGGAAAGTGTAGTGCCGGAGGGCATTTCTACACACCATGATGAA